AAGCAGAAAAGGAACAAAACGTTTTCTTGAGGACAGGAAGTGTTGCGCTCTAATTCTGTATTGTCCAGTATTCATCACCTTGACCACATAAAGTCGAAGAGAGAGCTGGAATATTAACGGATACCCACCACAGATCTGTGCGCTTACGCTTTGCGTTTGAATTGTCCACAAAAATAACGACTTGAAATATTCCTTGTCTGATAGGTAAAGGACTGGTTTTAAGGGTCGCGAACAATGCAGAAAAACCGGTATAGTGGGTGCAGTGGAGTACCAAACGAGTTATACAGAACCTATACCCTACATCAGCTATCTGAAAGTAAAATTATAGAATCCTTGCTTTGTGTTTACCCACAGTGTGAATGTAGTCATGTCAGACACAGAAATCTGTGCAGAAGGATCTTGACAAAATTGATGCGCTTGATTTGCCGGGTGCAACCTAGTCCCTGTTGCATTAAAATGGAAGAACTGTTGTATGGAGAGTAGTAGGTCACGGTAGATTCTGGCGTAGCGTATTGTAGTAAATACATTATTGGTCGTTAGAGTCTCTGTGTTAGCCATCTCAGCTGACTTTAAAAACCATTACTATCGTGACTAGAGGGAGCCTACCGACATTCAGCAGCTCTTTATCATCTTAAAAGAGTGTCAAGCTCGTAAAATGTGATATGCATGTTGCCACTCTACAAGGTTTAAGTGTAACTATACATTCAGCGTTGATTGTTTCAGAACACCACGACACAAGAACCATTCAGTTCAGCATGACCTCACAGAGCAGTTTTGGAGGATGAAGACAGTTATTTGTCTACCAAATCCTTCGCAGCCCTACACGTTTTATTCCTGATTTTTTTTTTGGATTTTGATTAACTAATGGTTCTACGAGACGGAGTCTTGTTGTAACTGAAATAAGTATTACAGCTGAAATCCTTTCCATGAAAATTCGCCGGACAAACGAATAATAACTCACGTCCATGGCGTTGTTCGTTGCGTCCTGGGTGGCCTAAGTTTAAATAACCTGAGGGAAGGTATTTTGGTCAATTCAACGGAAGAATTCAAGCTCATCCTCCCGATTGTGTAATTTAGAGTGTCAAATGAGAGCTACTTAGTGTGTTCAGTCAGGATTGCAGAACCGGTTTATGCACGAAACACGGCAGTCATCGTATAAACTATGCGTTTTCCACTGTTCTTCGATACCCTCTGGTCTCCTCACACACCCTTCTGAATTGTTAAGGCTCTTCAAATGCATCAAATATATCATTGATTTCAACGATTGGTCTCGTTCCCAGTCGCTAATTGACAAGTTGCAATTTTATGTCTGTAGAAAGTCCCTCAAATTGAAATTCTGCGAATACAGGTGGTCACCAGCGTACAAGGATCTCGGATCTCCTCGATCTGATCTGTTACCGTACTGGATGCTTTTAAAAGCACACTCCTTGAATTAGGGACACAGTGCGTCAACTTCTAAACACCCAGCTCAAAAATTGACGGGGAGAAATGATGGTCAGAAAAATGTCGAGAGAGATGGAGAAGGCTGCGGCCATTGATAACAGTTACAAATTATCCCGTGGATTTAGGAGTACGGGTCCGGTGATTGAAGCTTGTGCGACTGTTAAGAGGATGGTTAAAAAACAGGACTAGGGTGAGAGAAGTCGTGTCTAAAGAATTGAGGGTTTGTGGCTAAAGGAATGCTGGTGAAGGTTAGAGGATTGTGGCTGTTGGCTGAAGCATGAATTACGTCATAGTTTGAGAAGTCTGTGGGGAGTAACACTATAGCCTGAGTCTTACAAGACTAAATTCAACGACGGATTCATAAAACATTTGTGGTGTTGTTGATGAGAAACCTACAGCCACATTGAGGCAGTTAAAGGAACGCATGGAGACAGACTTCCCGGGTACTTCTATCAGCAAGACCTCCATTGATCGATTGCTGGATGGACATCACTATTCAATTAAGAATTTGACCATCCAGTCCATGAAACGGAACTCGGAAGCTGTCATAGTGAAACGAGCGGAATATGCCAATTGGTTACAGAGATCGAGCAACGCAATCCTGAGACTGAACATTGACGAGACCGATTACAGCACATGGTCCAGTCGCAGTTATGGACGATCCAAAGTGGGCTGTAAAGCCATTAGAAGCCTCCCGTCCAACAAAGGACCGAACTTGAACATAATAGCATGTTCATCTGTCGATGGTATCCTTAAATATGAATGTCATTCAAAGATCAGTTGGCATGTTTTCAATGGGTTCCTATTAAGCTGCTCTACACTAATTGCCGCTGAGCAACCGGGTGTCCCAGTAGTTTTTATCTTTGACAATGCGCCCGTTCATGGGAGAGCTTTGGATGCGCAGTTAAATGCCAACCACCATGTCCGATTTCTCCCGCCATATAGTCCCTTTTTCAATCCATCGGAAGAGGTCTTCAGTAAATTCAAACAGGGGAGAGATGTTATTCTTTTAATTCCCTTATAATTTAGCACATTAAAAACTGGTTCGCTGAAAACACTGAAGCCATACGAGATGTACCAAATGGTTTGACGATACGGGCACATCGTCTAAACCTACTCCAATCACTACATGGTGCGGCATTTGATACCGTCACTACAGTCAACTGCGCGGCATACGGTCGTCACACCTTCTCATTTATTAGTTAAGCTTTGCAATATGAAAATTTGTAAAATATAAATTTTTTCAACATTCGTCGACCTCAGAATATACCGATAGTTTTTGTTCTGACTCGCCTACAGCGATGTGCCCAAAGGTTGTGCGTCGAGGCCAAAGGACTGCGGGTCGAGGCTAAAGCATTGCGGGTTTTGGCTAAAGCTTGATGGGAAAAGGTGTAGTTCGTACCTTTTTTTAACACATCGTGACCAACTGATGTTAGGAAAAGTCG